CTCCTGCTGCTGTTGCTGCTGCTGCCGCCGCGTCTGCTTCTGCTGCTGCTGCTGCTGCTGCGGCTGCAGATCAAGCCAAGCAGTCTCTCCCGTCTGTTTAACATTGAATTATATACTTTTAAACTGCATTTAGTTAATTATCTTTGATTTTAATTATTTTAATTAATTTAATTAATTTAATTAATTTAATTGATTGAATTTATTTAATTTGTTTTTAGGAAATCGACAAATGGTGCTGCTGCTGCTGCAGCACAAGAGCAGCAGCAAAGCCCCCGCCATGGGGGGCATGACAGCTCTTCATTTTGCTGCTCAAAAGGGACACAAAGAAGTCGCTGAGGCCGTAAAGCCTAAACCCTAAACCCTAAACCCTAAACCCTCGGGTTGGCTGCAGAGGCCAGCGCCCCGCGTTTCTCCGGCTCTAAACCCTAGCCGCTAAACCCTAAACCCTTTAATCTGTGCTGCTGCTTCCCCGCGCGGCAGGCCTCAGCCCCCAGGGCTTAGGGTTTAGGGTTTAGGGTTTAGGGTTTGGGGTTTAGGGTTTTGCTGCAGCTGCTGCGCAAAGGCGCTGCAGCAAACGCCCTCGCCAGGGGGGGGCGCTCTCCCCTTTTTTTGGCCTGCAAATCTAAACACTACCAAACGGCTTTGACTCTCATTGAATACGGTAAACCCTAAACCCTAAACCCTAAACCCTAAACCCTAAACCCTAAGGCCTACGCCCTAGGTGTCCGCGGCTCGAGCCCCAAGCCTAGCCTCCAAACCCTCGGCCTAAACCCTAAACCCTCGGCGGCCGCGGTGAAGCCCCGACGCCCTCGCAGCAATTGGGGTTTAGGGTTTAGGGTTTAGGGTTTAGGGTTTAGGGTTTGCGTGCAGGGGCCGACTTGGAACTAAAAACCGCGCGGGGCGAAAGTGTTTTGGACCTTGTGGAACCTGAAGTGGCGCAGCTGCTGCAGGCAGCAGCAGCAGCAGCACTGGACAGAAGGCCCAAAGCAGCAGCAGCAACTGCAGCAGCAGCAGCAGCAGCGGGAGCGGCAGAGC